GCACGGAGTGTATTTGACGCAGTAGCCCTCAGTCCCAGCAAATGTAGCCAATTTTCAGGTTAACTAACCCCCCGACTAGAACATACTGTTAAAAAATCGGGGAGTGCGCCCACCTGAAGAGCCCTACGAAGGGCGAAACCAGTCGTAAGCTGTCCAACAGTTTTCATCAAACTTGTGAGTATTTTCCTTTGTAAAAATCCCTTACCCTGCTTTGAAGAAGACAAGGTCTTTTCGTGCGGACTACCCACTCGCTGATATCAAGATGCATTAGCACTGACGTTTAGCAGTGGATCTTTCAAACACATGACTGTTTCGTAGCGTGGCCAGCTTTGATGTGCAGTTAGGTTGGGTACGTGACCTTTTCACTCTGGTAGTTAGAGTTATCCGGTCGAGGGTTTTGCAATTTTTCAGCGTCTGCTTTTTACTAAACCATTCTCCAGTTATCAGTAAAGAGTTGCCATCCATTAAACATACCAAGGCCTTATCTTAGTGTTACGCCTGAGCCATGGAATAAGGCAACAACATGTTCACCGCTGCCTAACGCAGAGAACAATCGTGAGGTCTCCAGTACAATAGAGACTGTGGTTCTATCACGGCATATCTCCAAAAGTTCACATCCAAGTGACAAAATAAACTGGTTCGCGAGCTGATTTGGGGTTGACGGGAGACGACTCAGTTTATGCCGACTCACTTCTGATTAGGTATCATCACCGCTCACTGGCAAAATAATTTATCTGCAACATGGGTGACTGCTGGAGTAGAGTCATTCCATTCCCTAACGGCTCAAAATGAGAAGTTGCGTGCTCTAATATTGAAAAGCTCTCACTGTGTCCCTACAGTGTGTTGGTGGAGTCAAATGGAGGAAAAATGACCGATCCTACCTTGTCCAAACAGGGACCAAGTATTGGTTCCACTTAAAGTCGACAGAGTCCAAGGATCTTCAGGCGCGTTAAATTAGCAACGGGATTTGAGATTGGCAACCACTTTGTCCCTCGTCTGTCTTGAGTGGGCTACTCAGTTGACGCATCCGACAAACGGTCTGACGTGGGCCCCATAGAACATATGGAAGTCCAAGCGATTGGTATGAGGAAGGCTGCACCGATTTGCTCGAGAAACAACGAATGCCACTCAGGCCGATTTTTCGTAATTGAACAAAAGTGGGTTTGCCAGGGGCATAAGTCTTCCTGGTCTCTAGATTTGTAACTGATTTTGCCAATCCTCACTACAAACGACGGGCTCATCTGTCAGGCCGCCTGTGAACAACATACAGACACGTTATTCCTAATCCAGTAAAAGTTTCCAGCCTTGGAACAACCGATTTACTGCGTTGCCATCAGGCTAGTGTGCGTTGTTATTGAAATCCTGAACTTTTGGTTGATCAAAAAGTATATGCATGATTTTTGGAGTGCATCGGGAAGGTCACTAACCTAGATCAGGAATAGGAGTAACCCGGTGTAGAAGTAACCCGGCGTAGAAGTAACCCGGTGTCCAATGGCCCGCCGGCTCCCGTAGGCCTCGAAATTAGCCTTTGGATTTTGGCTTGTGTGGAGCAGCCTATTGAGGAGTTATGCGTGTCGCGCAAAGACGCGCAAAAACACGAAAGAATCCCTGTTGTGTCTGCGATGCCAAGTTTTTTGCAACAGGAAAATTTAAAATGGCATGCTTCGCAATGCTTCTCATACCATACATTTCATACCGGTAACGCTAACAAACACAGAGCTACCGGCCTTTTAGCCAATCGGCTTATCAGTTCATTTCATTCTAAGCAGAAGGCGTGCTTTGTTGAGTGACTGACAAAACACCAGTTAGAAAGGCTCGACCAGGCTACATCCTTGAATGCACTTCATGTGGCCTTAAGTCGCTAAGGGAATTCGTCTTATGCTAGAGTTTACAAACATCTTTCTATGCAAACGGTAGGCTGGTTTAAGGCCGCCTGAAAGTCTACCATACCAAGGCTGAAGGCGATGAGCTCGATGGGGTAAAACACAGGCCTGAATAGTTTTTGCGGGCTTCGACTGCCACTTTCGGGTAGCTAGTAGGATTTTTCGCTTTCGCCCAACAAGGGCACAGATATTGACTGGATTCTGTATGTACACAAACAGGGGATATTCGCCTTTTTCACTTTCACTTGGTGTCGCAATTGGCTTCGCCAATTAAGTTGGCAGTTTTCTGATTTACAGTGATTTCACAACTTATGAGATGTTCATTTGTCTTCTCAGCATTCTCTAGTTTGAGAGATGGTTTGTGCCTAACTTGCAAGACACCAAATCCCAGGTGATCCTTGGTCTACTCCACTGCGCAAAATTTCTTTCGGGATAAACACTGCAGCATATCCTTAAATCTTTATTTCGTCAGTCCCGTACATCATCGTTACCAAACATGGTCTATGTTCAAACGATCAAAAAAGACACAACGTTCTGAGAAATTTGCGCGGTTGAAGTTCCAAATTAGTGTCATCGGTTAAGGGTTCCTGGTTCAGTATTGAGTGCAGGCAAATGTCAGTACACAGTGGCCACTATGTTCCAGAGGGTCCTCAATTATCAGGTGATAGAAAAAGAGTCGCTACTGGGTCAGGATCGGATCCAGTAAGAATGCTGGCTGACCTGTGTGACGTCTGGCGGATGCTTGAATATGCTGTGTGCGGGCAGCCTGTTGTGGCGCTCAGTATTCGCACAATGGAACTGATTTCTCGAAAGCTACGGCACTTTCATGCTCGCCACTTCATAGTGTAGAATGTCTATATATAAAGTGTATGCTTCTGTATCATTGGAACTCATCTACTATGGTGATTTGTTTAAGTGAGCGAATCCTCAAGGTCAATAAACACCACCGACTGTGAATATGTTGCCCGAAGTAATAAAAAACCTCGAATTGTGGAAAACGTTGACTCACTTACAATAGACGAAACTTTCAGATAGTTTTCCACCCGAAAAAATCCCCGAACATTCTGGAATCTACATGGCCTTTGAAGATGCAAAATATGCGTAGGTGCATTCGTGCAAACAAATTTTGGTCGACGATTCCTGTTGCCAGTTAAAATTCCGTAGTCCACGTTCATTATTTGCTAAAGGTCATGCACGTTTGCTGGCAAAAAAGCAGAGTTTTCCATTATAAGTTGCGAGTTATGCTAGGAAGACCCCGAGGTTTATCGGTTAGCAACATGGAAGCTACGTCGATCATAGCGAACAACTGAACAAACCTAACTGACGCACACGGCTAACATGCGGCTAGGGGTACACCATGCCGGAGTGCAGCCATCCATCTGCACCGGGGAAAAGGGTCAAAATGGACTTCGTGAAATGTTGAGATATGTTGGTCGTTTTGAAGTGTACATATGTCCTTCCGGGGGGCGAATAATCTTCGTCAGGTGTATTAATTTGGCCTTTGACGTCCTGAAATCAGAAGGGGACACCATTTAGCTTATCGAACTATCACCATAAAGTGGGTGGCCGACAAGTTGGTAGAGATACCCAAAATGCAATTCACCGGCAATGTTGTCGTATATGCATGTTCACACAGTGCCATCTTCAGCGGTTACTTCGCATGCCTGCTTACCGCACCTCTCAAGAAATACGAGACTTACATTAAATGCATGGATCTCATTAACATACTAACTGTCCGGAGCTGATGGGTCACATGAAATCATCCTGCGCGTATATGGCCCATTTTTGGTTATTGCACAACCAGCGGGCTGTAAGATAGGAAATAACTTCAGGATCGGTGCTGCGTAGAAGCTGTAGGTTTTTCCGGAATCTGCGTGCTCGTAATACGATGAGCAAAAAACCTACTGTCTAGGCGAGCCGTGCGGTGAAATATGTGCCGGATGTGTGCAGAATGTGTCTATGACCAAAAATTCATCAATATTAAATGATACATACGTGCTTTCTGATGGCTTTGCGGACATGAAAATCGCGAAGCATCACGTCACAGCCGAACACGACCCTTGCTGCACGCATTTGCGCCACCAACTTGTCGATTACAAAAGTCTTAACCAGATAAGTTTCGCCTAACATTGCCTTGAAAAAGTCGAATAGTTTAAGCATGGGAGCAAATCGTTTGCTCTCTATGAATACAGACAACCGGACGCCCGGCTTCCGTGCCGTCCGTTATCGAGGTGTGCGGCTTATATCTACATGGCGAAAATTAGGTGCTTTTAAAAACTTACCCAAGGCGGTTTGTTGCATGCGTTCCGTCTACATCCATTGCATCTGGAAAGCGTCGGAACAATGCTATCTGCTGCCATCGGGAGAAGCATGTGACTATAGTGACCTACCCCTGACTGGCACACAAGCACGCTTCCGGTCTCCCGAAGTTTTACCGGGAGGGAAAGCATATCACCTCCATATTAAAACCCAAATATGTGGCATGTACTCAACATAGCCGGTCGACATTTCTGGCGGTGGTTGCATATATCCCGAGTGGTAAGAATCTTGCTGATTTCGCCCGCCGCAAACTGTTGCACATCACACAAGGGCGTTTCATACCTCGGAAGGTGTCCAACAGGTGTCCAACTCGTCTTCGGTTAGCCGTCGATTAACTGGAAGCCGGTCGTACAGAAAGCTTGACAACTTGTAGTTGTGTTCCAGAAAATAAGAGGTGACTGCCAGTTGATTCATTTGCTACCGTAGACAAAACCGCACTAGACAGCTGGCGCTTCGTGTACTTCTTTATTAGAAAATACGCTCGGCCTACTAGCTTCTTCACATTTCCCGGCTTTCCGTTGGTTTAGGAGGTCGCCCACTGCATTCGTTGTACACACACTCGTGACTTAAAGCAGCATGGGTGCTTCGGTTACTGGATGAACTCACAAATAACACATAGTTATCCCTCATGTATTGGTTTTAGGCCTTCTCATATGCCGAATATGTACCAAAAATTTCGAAAGAAAATCAAATAAAACAAATCGCAAAAAGTGACGGCAGATGAAGATAATGTTTGGACTGAGCACATATGCAAAGAAGTGCAACACTTTAACGTTAAAGTTTTTATTTCACTCACAGGGGTTTTGCAGAAAAATGCATTGTGCCTCGAAGGCGCCATGTCTTTTGTAGGAGTGCATCCGGTGCAGATACAAAGCGCTCATTTGGCTCGACGTACTGAGATTTTCTGCAGCCTTCCTTGGGAGCCTCGAAGCCAACCACTGCGGTTTAATACAAGGTTTGTCATGTCCAAACACCTTCAAACCAAGCGTTGTGGAAGTTCATGACGCCCACGATGAACGTCGTGAGAGCCAAATTGAAAAATTGTGCGCCATGTCCACCACAGAAGGTTTATCAGAGCCCAGAACTAAGGAGTAGACTCAATATATGGCAAGGCAGTTTTGTTAGCCTACCAATGTTCCTCCACGCGTAAGTAGTCTTCATGGCCCACTTCTTTGGTATTGCTTACCCAGTGATAATATGAGCGTCATCAATTGAGAAAAAATATTCTGAACGCGTAAATTAGAGCCTACCATTTCTCTACTGTCAAAATGCTGGGTGCTGCGCACTGTATATTCACACGCCAGTCGCTCGACCTGCCAGGACCCCGAAGTGGTAGGGCCTGGAGTGCAAGAAGGACGCATACACTCTCTAGACCGACCATTTCTCCGTCTATGCTAGTTATGTGGTGTCATCAAAGTAAATGGCCATCTATCAAGAGAAACATATAGCCAAGTGGCTGAAAGGTGTAACCAAAAGCTGAAACAGGGCGCCTTTTAATCTTCGAATGAAAGGAAACGTGCATAATCCAGATCCTTTCAGCGTCCGCATGTGATGGTGCACTGTCAAAAAATGATACCAGGAAGAATTTATCTTGTGCGATTTTTCTGGAAACGGCCAGTGAGGTACCCGATAATTGCATATCGATTTATTGTCACCCTCACGTGAAAAATACAGAGCTAAATACAGCCCTTGTGGACCATACAAGCCGTGGCCATCTACGGCTTGTTAAATCCCTTCATGACTGAGTATATGCGCTACTAAATATATCTAGTAACAGCAACAGTTAGAATGCAGCGCTCCCCTATTTGACGTAGACTAGCTAAAGTAATTGTGTCAGGATATGAGAGTGGCCGTTCAAACGAGAGTGACGTAGCCTTGAAGTATTCAACTGCCCCTTCTGCCAGCGATTATTGCAGGTTGATCGCTGAACGCCAGATAATGGACTTCAGGAAGATCTGTTATCGAAATGAAAGCAGACTTTACAGAAACACATGAGCGTTTGCGCTTAGAAATCCAGAAGAATTGTTATTTGGGTAGATGAAATCACTGATGGGTCGGTTTGTAATTCAGCGTCTAGGGGTTTATAAGCAAAAGAATTGCGAGGAACAGGACCGCATCCCTAATAAAAAGAACCAAACCTTCGCTGTCAAACTTACCTCCAACAATCACAGGCTGAGGGGGGAGCAGACAGAAAATAAAGAACAAAAACAGGTCCCAATTTTGCAAAGTTGGCAAGAAAACCAGGGTACTGCCACGTACTGCCAACTAGTAAAACGCTGACTCAGAGAGCGGAGAACACGCTGTGGCCAAGAGCAGTGAACGCGATGAAACAAACAAAGGCTATGTATGAATAATGCCTTTGGAGCCCGGAATCACCCACACGAATGCGGTTCATTGCATTCCCAGAAAGCCGGGCGTATAGCCATTTCCGTTACTAGGGCCACGGCCCGCAATGGCGGCCAACTGTTTTGAAGACGAAACGGAAATGAAATGGGAGTATGGTTCAGATCTATTAGATTAACCAGATTGGTGTCGCTTCTCTGGGTTACCAAGGAAATAAAGCAGATTTCGTTTATTAAACAGCGCAACTGGAAATCTTATAAATGTATAAAAATCACCATGAGCGACACGGACTGATAAACTGTGAAATGCAAGGAAATGGGTCCCAGAAAACTTTGAACGTTGGTGAGAAGCGCTTAGTGCACCAAACGCAACAAGGTCTAATAATCAAGCTAGTGTTCCTGTGGGAAATTCGAATGGTTAATGGGCAAATCACATCACCCCCAGAACGTTCAACAACAAACTCCGAGGATTCTGTGAATTGATGCCCACGACCTGATGAAAAGTTGGCATAAACAAGGGTAAATGACAAAGAGGAAAATGACAGATGTAATCACGTTGACCAGCCTTGTATAAATCAGAAAGCTGATGGTAGTGAGGTAGTGTTCAGAATACAAAATTTCCCAGGTTGTACATAGTGGCTTACAGAAGACCAGGAGTTGGGCGGAGAAAACGGGGAAAGAAAATTAAAGCGGGTTTTTGCAAAAGCCTGCGCCGCTGGCTTAGGCTTTCCTCGTTAAAGCACATATCCCTGAAAATCCTGCTATGAACCAAAAAACAGTTATAGCCGAGTGAAAATGGTGTCTCACTGGTTGCACGCAGTGTGGAACCTCCGACACCATTGGTTTCGCAAAGCCTCTGAGCCTTCCTTTAAAGTGTCACTGCCCCATGCTGCCACCTCGTCACACGAACATGCAAAGCGACCGTTCACCTCAATTTTTTCCACGATCTCTTGTCCTTGCAAGCTGCAGACTGCTCTCAACTCACTCAAATTTAGGGGTATTTTTTGTGCACGGTGAGTGATATCAGCAAGCCACCCGTGTTCTCAGACGGTATGTTATTGTTACCGTAACCTACCTTGTAAGTTGCCATCATGTCAAGTCCCTCCTTGAACCTTGAACAAACGTCACCGAACAGTTACAAAAATTATCTTCCATGACTTTCTTACCTCTACTTTTGCCCTAGCAAGCCCCACAACATAATAATCCTTTCTGTCAAAATACTTGCTAGCTAACCCTCTCCTTTTGCACAAGCTAACTACGAGATCACGTACGCTTCGATCACCAATTAGGAACTATCCAATGACACTTCCGCCCTTCCTAGCCAGCTTCATAAGCGATTGTACTACTAGTTGTGAGATGGGTTGCGCGCCATTTAGCCCATGTAAGTTTCTCATATTCACACATGGCTACACCCATTTGCATCAGCCTCATACCGCCATTCCTAACTACCTGCACCTGAATGAGGATCATCGTTTTTGAAATCGTACAGTGTTGTCTCACTACGACATTTGGGAAGTTAAACCACACTTATATGCCTGCTATTTCGGGCCACAGTATAGCTTATGCCTTAATACCCTGTAATATTCACTTGTGCCTTCCAGGTGAACGACGGTAGCTGAACGACAAGAACAAAACCAACCCGGAAAACTTGGACAAAAGCCTCGATCCTGTGTATCAATCCGTGAATCTGTGAATCCGTGATTATATTCTATTCGCAATTTAAGCCATCAAGCTAGATATTGATTTGCTTAAACGACAGCCATGGACAATTATGCACCCTAAATAGACCCCAGAATATCTTCAGTCCATGCTGTCCTGAATTTGTCAGGATTCCTATACCCATCCTAACTACCCCGACAATCCCAAATGACCCACCCAAGAGGTTCTTGTACGAAGCTGTCCACGGACCCAAGAGCGACGTCACGATGACGGTACTTCGACCGCCATACCCAGCCTGATAGCTTGCCCCCGGATCTCGATATCTCTACAATTTTGCAATCGACCGTGTTACATGAGCCAACAGGCGCTTCTCAATGCGTTGAATTTGTGTCAGCACCCCAAGGTACTGTTATACTATTGTACTATCCGCTCATATTGCCTACAAACTCACTAATTTTTCCCGCGGCATTATCGAGTTCTTAGCAGTCGGTGAAGCCAAATTCCTCGCAGCGTACCCGACTATCATAAAAATCTGCCAAAGGTACTAACCGCGTTGGGTTCCTTGGCTTTTTTGGCGGAGCGCTGGCCTCATTAACAGGAAGAGAAAACATGTGAAGAAACAAATTTCTCCACATTATTCCTCACCGTCATCATGGGACGCCATGCCAAGATGGAGATCTGTATATCTGCCTTGTTTATTGGACGTATACTCTAGAAGGCAATAGTAACGATAATGTCAATTCCTTACTAGTGGGTGGCATACCGTTAGGAATGAGCATACGGTTATAGTCGGAATAAAGGAGGACGGGGATATTTTCCGGCACTGGGGATTGCGCGAAAAAGGACAGCGTCATAAACTGCGGGCAAGCATCTAATGTGGAATTGGTCGCACCTAAACCGACATGGAAAAGAGAACACAGGTACCCGGAGTTTATCTTACTTTTGGGGGAACATATCAAGCTGAGACAAGGTCAGATCGCTCCAACGAGGAACTTTAACGGCGACAACTGGTGCCTGAATTTGACCCTGGAATCTTCGCCCTCCTATGCATCGGGATGATAGGCGCTAATGCATTTACGATGGCAGCTTAATGTCCGTCCAAACTGGATACTATCAGACAGCGAATTTCCATTGAAGGCGGTAGTGTTTATGCAGCAATACACGGAAAAACACCACCCGATCCACGCTCGAATAATAGTCCCAGCACTAGTGCCTGATACGGGTATGGCTCGAGGTCAGAACGAGTGTCGGAGGATGACGGTTGCCAGGTTGATAATGACGTTGGATTAGGTTGGAGGGCCTACTGACTCCTCGCTTTTGAGTAGAACGTGAGCTCAGTGGCGGAAAACGGCCAGTGAGAGAAGTAACTTGGCATTGAATTCCAGCTTGCTAGGAATCCAAATGGAGCATGTTGAGCAAGACAATCCAAATTGAGACAAACTGGGCTGCAGCCATGCCAAAAAGTAACTCATACTCGAAAGAACAATTGACTTTTGTGAAGTATTAGCCTCCATGCTATCTTCATCAGAAGTATTTCGGACGTCTGTGGAAAGGACAAGGTGCGGGGACGCTGAAGAGAATTCGCGTTCCGAAGTGCTGTAAAGTTCAAACTCTACATTGGATCACAAATCTTTACCCCCGGTTATCATTAAATCGATCGCTAGGCCTCTGGTGACCTGTTCCCTGAGACGACGATCAGTTTGTGCTACAACCAAAAGAGCTAAATGCCTGACCAAGACGCATGCTACCAACCGTCCCCAGAATGTCCTCAAAGGCTACCGGGATTGATGTTCGCCATGTACCATGCTTATTATAAAGATCGCGCTGATATCCTTCGAAATGGCCGTGCTGTACCGAATGTGCGGCTTCCGGAAGCAGTCTGGGACGCCTGCATGGACATATTGGGGCAAATCTTCGGAATTCTTCTGGAGCATATGCCACGGCGAGGCTCACTGGACGTTGGATAGCTGGGCGATACTCAAATCAAGTATATGGTTACATTCAGTCCATGCGATCTTCAGGCTATAAGAGGCGGGACAGTGTTCTTTCATACACACGGCCGGTCTTTCGCATTTCGTGATTAAAAGTAGCCTTCTTAATGAATGAAGGATCTCGATGGACGCAAAAGCTGATAAAAGTGACCTAGTGACGCAATCCATTTTGACAGCGTCAGCTTGAGCAGTACGGAACTGTCTCGAGCCTTCTAGGACGAAACTCTGGATAAATCAGGCAGCGCGCATTTTCTCATGAGACGTCGCTGGTTTGTTTCTATTTGAACGTTAGAATGGCAAATAAAGTATGTGGCGACGATAGGTGATCGAAAATCGACGGGATGATGACGATGAAATGAAATGATGAAACGAAATGTCTGTCTTAGTGAACGTGGAAGTTTGAAGTTTAATTGTGCTACAGCTCGCCGTTTATGAGCTCGGAGTAATAAACTGCCAGTCACCTTGTGGTCCCGATAAAGTTACTCTCAACTTGGCCTCGGCCTTCTGATGGCTCAGTCTACTCGATTGTAGCCGTCGACGACATAAAACAGGCTACTTACGCACTCAACTAGGCAACGCACCGAAAGACCTGTTCCTCTGCCCCACTCTAGCAGGGCGATATTTGTGCGCGGTGGCTGTAAATGTTTGATGGACCCTGTATGTACTTCGAAAACTCGCTGACTGACTTGAACAAAACTAGAGGGAAGCAATTCATCACAAGCATCAAGCGTGAAGAATCAGAACGCGGAATTATCATCTCCCATACCTACACGTAGAAGGCGTCCACGCAAAGAAGGTTCAGTAGAATTTCCAAATGAGAAATGTGCGGTTAAAGCGTTGTTAATTTGTCAGGTCTTTGGGAATGCTGAATAATGCCGTCGTACATACCGACCACCGGGGCAACCATTTGATGGCACTATCAGGAAATGGCGAGATGTGAACAAGCAGATCACCCGCCACCCGCTTTATGTGCTTTGAAACGCTTTAGAAAATGCTTTCTGATTTTTCAGACATTCATACCGCCACTTTTACAACAGGGGCAAGACGCTGTAATGATAGAGGTCACGCCGATCACTAGAAGCAAACCGAAATTGGTTTAGCAGGAACAATGGGGTTTTCAAAGTTGAGGATTTTACGCGGATTTAGTCTATTCAGCCTGCATGCTTCGTTGTTATGTGGTTCACAGGTTTTGTCTAAATAGAGAAACGATCAAGGTCACCGTTCACCGCCGATTCATATATGATTATCGGTTTGGGAGATATAGTTCGAACTAAGCTGCAGCACAGTATTCCTCAAACTAGAGATTACAGTTACAGAATTATATGTGCAAATTCCACGCACGTAGCTTGTCCGTTATAATTGTGGAACACAGTAAAACATGAGTTATTCACCAAATTTACACAAAGCACTGGTGCTTTTGAAGCTCGCTTGCGCGCAGCATAATAGATGTTGGAAACTTGCACGGTACTTGCGAATGATTGCTTTTTCCACTTGGGCGCAGTTCGTCAGGAGAAAATGCAGCTTTTTCGGATTGTTGCATGTAAATTACCATCACCCAGGTGAGTCACCTTTATAAGTAAGAAGCCTGAGGTATTTAGTTTGATTACGCCATAAGGCAAGACGAAATTGCCGAAAACACATGCCAACAATTGCCTTTCATCAGGATAGCTGCATACGTTGTCGCTTACCTTAACTATTCATCGTGACTACTAGGCCCATGCGCATGCACACCGCTGATTGAGACCTCAGCTATACGTGATGACCTGATGCAAACACCAACGACAGTCTACCATCATCATCATGACTGTATACCTGGTCGTTATGCTATGTCCG